TAAAATAAAAATAAATGGTTCCTTGGTTTTAGAACTGAGGCACTCCTGCCTGTGCTGTTTCAGAGGAAAGTAGCCTCTTGGCTAGCAACCGGGACCCTCTCCGCTCCATTACCAAGGGAGTTACCCAGCAGGGGACGGGTCCTGGCAAATAATAGTGTTTATACCTCTAAAATATGCTGACTCTGTGTGTAAGAGGCGAGAGCAGATAAAAACAAACTCCCGGGGAAGGGCTGGAGAAAGGTGGAAATGCTGAATGCAATTTTAACAAAGGGGGCTGGGAACAGACTGCACGGTGCAGTGGTTAGGAACCCTGGCTTGGAATCTGAAAGATTTGGGACTCTGCAACTCAGCATGTGACCTTGGAGAAATTACTGAACCATCTCCTGTGACTAAAGGAATCTGTTTCCTCCTCTGAAAACCAGTAGTAACAACAGTCTTCTCTCCAGGGTTGTTAGGAGGCTTGCGTGAGACAATACAAGTGAAGGACACAGCACCTAGGGCTGGCACTCTTATTATTCGCAAGTCTGCCTATCTCTGCACATCATTTTACAACAGTGTTATTGGACAACATTTACCAAGCGCTTACTACGACCAGGCACAGTGCTGAGCTCTGGGTTTCATGGGAGAATTAAGTCTTAGAATGACTATGTTAACAAATACATCAACAATATAACATACATAAACAAATTATATTAATAAATATATTGGGAGTATCAGTACTCGGATCATTACAAGGATAATGAGAGAATGCCTGCCGTGAAGGGTTTAGTACAGTGCCTGACATACATAAAGAACTCACGCGAAGGTGGATATTAACATGAAGCGCAAGTCCCATTTGCCCTGGCAACAAGCAGGAAGGTGACAGGGTTAACCTGCAGGGTTTTCCCCTCCCCCATTTCGCCACATCCTATGCTACCGGCTCTCACATCCCCAGCCAGCTCCTAGCCTCCACCAGGAACTTGGCTCTTCCAAACAACTATGGAAGGGCCCAGCCGCTCAAGTGCTTGAAGGTTAAGGTGATGAAAATACAGAAAACTGGTCAGGCTAGCCATTACCCTAGGAAGTAGCAGCAACCGGAAGGAAGCCTGCTTGGGGCCGTGGGTGTCCGCCGTGCTCTTTCCTATTTAGATGATGGTCACATGGACGCGTTCTCTTTGAGGAAACTCAATTTCTACAATTAAGATTTGAACACTCTTCTGTACAAATGTTACATTACAATAAAAAAAAAATTTAAAAATAGTGACTGCCCTTCTCCAACATCCAAAGCACAGAGCAGCCCTTCTCGATGGGCATGCCACACTCAGGTTGTGAGCACGCCAGGTCAATCACCTGTGGCAGTGAGCAGCCTCCTCAGTTTACCCACCAGGGAGCTGTAGAATTACCAGTTGTTTTTTTTGTTTGTTTTTTTTTGGTAAAACTGGAAAGTAGTGCTCTAGAGTACCAAATGACAACATCCTCCTCAATCACACGAGTCTACGTTAAGGTTTTTCCTATCTAAAGTCAAGTTTATTGACTCAGTTTTTAATGAGATTGTTTTATCTTCTCCAATAAGAGTACACCACATTTATGGGTCAACACTTCTAGACTGCTCTTTACAAAACTGAGAGCCTGTCTTTGACATCATTCCATAGCTTACTCTTCATAACAAGCAAATATCTAGTAACAAGCCAATACCCCTCCCTCTTTCCTTTCCCCACAGTCGCGGGGGGGGGGGGGAACACCTAAAATAAATTTCAATCATTTATCAAGTCAATGGATATAACACAGACTACATGCTGGTTTTCTCTTTGAAAGTTTATTGTTATTAAAAAAAAAAAAAACCTATACTTGTTACATTTTACATTCACCTCTCAGAACATTTAATGATACCAGTTAATGATGATATATAAAAAGCCCACCAGCTGCTTGAAAGGGCTGCAAATTTTTACCATGTACTGGTATTTAATTGGTTTGAACTCTTTGGAAAAATTGGTGTAACATTAAGTACCAAGATTTCAAATTCCCAGATTAGGAACAAGATTTTTAAGTCAGGAGGAAATTTAGTAAAAATTCAAGGCTAAAAGGAAATGTTAATAGAAAAACAAAAATACTGTAAAAATAGGATTCCTCCCACCCCCAAGTTAGGTTAAAAAAAAAAAAAAAAGCAACCAACCCCACCCCGCCCCCAATATTTCTCTTAGAAAAGTCACCCAATCCTGAACACAGGGTCTCACACACAAATACAAGTAGCTTGATTTGCAGATAAGCTTCTGGGATCTTATACTGGCCCCAGTTCGGAGTTTAAAAAAAAAAATTAAGTTAGGTAGTTAGAGATCCATAAATACTGGTATCCAAACGAATGAAAACATCCTGGCTTTGGTATGGCTACAGAAATCTGGAAATTGTTCAAGAGGACACTGGCTTTGGGAGAGGGAGTCAGAGGGTAGGGAAGGCAACACAAAGCCCCCAAGCGGAGGTAAAATAAATATTGGGACACATCCATAGCAAACACTGTGAAGACTGAGGCAGGTGCCTCAAACAAAAAACACATACAGGTTCTTGATCAGAATAACCCAAGTGCAAGTTCTTGATCAGATTAACACATGTACAGGTTCTTCCTAAGAGTTGTCTAGGCCAACCTTTTTCAAAGTATTATCTGCAAGAAACGGTTTGAATTTGGGAATGCACGTGGTACCCTATGGTCTGGTGAGAGAGAAAGACCTTTTGGAATGAAAATGGCCACCTGGGCTAAAAGCCAGCCCCTTGTTAGTCCAGGAATATCAAAATCTGTTTTGTCCACCACAAAAGCACCTCTGACTCCTAACAAGGGGGGGCTCTGCTACCCCTGGTCACCACAGGGGCCTGCTAGAGGGGTTGAACTGCTGGCTTTTCATCTCTGGGGTGATAAAATAAAAAACTCAGTCTTCTGGGATTAGGAGTACAATTTACTGTGCTGTGTCTCAAGTCTATTCCCCACCTGCCCCCATTCCCACAGTCATGATTACGGATTGTGAGGGTACTGAGGAGCAGAAGGCAGTGATGTGGTCAAGGCCAGAGCACAGCCTCATCACCCTAAAATTTACAGAAGAGAAGAAGCCAAAGTGCCCATTCCCTGGTCTTCAGATGAACAGTTACTTCACAAAAGCACAAAGGGGCCACCAGAGAAGGCAAGGAAAAAAAAAAAAGGCAACTTGTTGCGTTGATGCTGAAATCCCCAGTAAGTTATCAACACAAGCCTTTCCCAAAAAAAAAAAAAAACACACAACAACAAACTTTGGTGTACTGCTAGGACGCCAAGTAAGACAATCATTCAAAAAAACCCACTCTGATGACTACATACACTATAACTAAATTTCCATCACAGGGCACTAACGGAGAACAGACTGCTATTATGGGACGTCACACACACCACCACGGGGACAATTACAGCAAGAGAGGCCCTCTTGTAGAGCAAAAGCTGCCAAGAAGAAACGAGAGAGGAAGGCCCTGTTTACTATGGACTTGGTTCACTCCAGGAATCATCATGGTGGGGGCTGCGGGCAGAGAAGCAGCACAGAACACCCACCCAGGCAACTCTAAATAAACAAGCATCATTTACCCTATTATCCAACACCAGGGGGGGGAAAAAAAAGAGAGAGAAAAAAATGGGTTATAAATTAAAACAAAAATCTGTACAAGTCTTGACTCTAAGTCTGTAAGGTTTGGTCTTTGTTGAAGCCAGGGCTTACAAGAAGGTGATTCACTTGTTATCACGGCCCCCCAACTTGCTTTGGGGTATATGCATCAAGAGATGACACGAAGAGAATCACCCGAGACCGAGGGCATGACGTACAAAGATTTCCTAAGATGCATAAGGTGTACTGACTTCCCACAGAGAGGCTAACAGTTGTTGTAACCCCAAATTCTTTACATATCCTACGGTGGCAGCTTAGAAACCACAAATCCCCTCTCCAAGGCTGGAAATGAGGGGCAGGCGGCAGGGAGCGTGGGGAAGGCCATTTCCCCAGGATTCCTTCGGTGAGTGGCAGCCACGGCAGAGCTCCTTTGTCTTCAGCGTGGGCCAGACCTCCTGGGAGGCTGGGGCGACGACAAAGCTCCACGGGCTTGAGAAACAGTCCGTGTGCAGTAACAGCCTCAGCGACAAGTGTGTGCAAGTGGAGTTTTAAGTGAGAGTCTACAGATCACTGATGACTGCCCGGTCAGTCTCCCCTCCCCACCCACAACAGATAACCCAGATAATTGGCCTGAGCCAGGTACCACTTCATTTCCTTAGGAATAGGGAACAGAAATGAATTAGAAATAAAAACTTCTGAAATGACCCCTTGTTCCAACTTGAGCTAGAACAAATGTGTCTAAATAAACCACTTGCATTAAATAACATTTAAAATGCGGTACCTTCAGCACATTTTGGAGCATGAGATGTCCCCTCCCCCAACCCCATTTACTTCAGTGCACGTAGCCACCCAGGCAAATTTTTCTGTCGCTCAGCCAGTGGAATGGATGGCATATGCCAGATGTTACACAAGGCATTTATTTCTCAGAGAAGGCTGAGAGCCAGGAGAATTAATCTCCTTCTGCTAGGACCTCTGCCCCAAGCTTCTGGGGAAACAGTGAATTGGGCTCGACAAGGGAAAGAGCTACGTGATCCACTAATCAGATTCAAAACATGAAAATGCAATGTAGAGTGTATCCCTTCCTGGTAGAAAGACCTACAGACAATTTAAAAAAAAAAAAAAAATGTCCCTTCAAACTCAAAGGAGGCTTTAAAAAAAAAAAAAAAAGATAAAGTATAAGCAAAAAAAGAAATGAGTAAATCGAACTCGCAACACTCCCCAAATCAAGAGTTCATGGTGACGGCTGGTCGGAAGAGGTCGAGGCAGGAAGGAGCAACGCAAAGACCGAAGTGGCTGCCACCACAGCGCCTCGCAGAATCCACAACAGCGCTCCCCAGTTTCCAAGGCAAAGGAGCAATTCCCGGGTTAAAAACTTTCTATTTGGAAGAAAACAAAACCAAAAACCACTCCAGAAAAAAGGTCAAGGGAAGAACACTGTAGAAAGTCAAGCCGCTGACCTCCGGCGGATCACAAAGAGCCCGCGCTGAAGCTGGCCCAAGTAGATCCTCATCTTGGTGCTGTCACTTGTCTTCCTCACCCAGATCTGCAGGGGAGAAGGAAAGGGAACAAGATGAGAGCGGCTACAGCGAATACCGAGGAGCAAATCTTCCAGAGCATCAAAACATCTGCATGAATGAGGTGTGGGCGGACAACTGGCAACCTCCTCCTGTCAGGCTGTGGGGGCCCACCCACAGGAAACCTCTAGCGTAGAGCAGGCATCAGCCCCGGACCTCCTTTCTCCTTCCTTCTCCCTCTCACGCACCTCTGATTAAGAAAATGGAAAGCACAGTGATCTCAGGTTCTATTTTTGCCTTGATCTTAGGGACCTTTTTTTTCATTTGGTTTGATTACAGCATTATCAACATTCAAAATACATATATTCATGAATATAAACTTTCAATCAAATTTGGAAATATTTTCCTTGCCCCAAGGGACTTCCATATCAGTCTTTCACTGCTCTGGTTTCCTGGCAATTAAGGCTAATGGTCATGGCAGAAAAAGAAGGAAAAAATAACAAGGGGAAAAAAAAGCCCACGAGTGAGCTAAGGCCCAATTAGGATCATCAGAAGGCTAAATTAGCTTAAGACAGCCCTTCCCTCCTGAGCGTATCCTTTTCCCACAGATGGTATCAGATGTCTGACATTTTACAGGGCAGATGCATTCTTGCATAGAATGGAGAATGAACTCTGGCAGCAGGGGGACCACAAAAGCAGACAAGGGCACTCGGTAAGTGTCATCTCTGTGGCCAGGACTGGGAAAAAGCCACCTCCTCAGTCACCTGATACACCTGAGCTTTTTCATCTTCAGAACAACCCCATAAAGTACTATCTTCACCCCATTTTATAGAAAAGAATGGCTGAGTCAGCTTGTCCGATGGGAATCCTGGTGCCTGCTCTCAAACCCCTCGCTTGCTCTTGTCCACTAACCTGGCCCTGGCTCTTCTTACCTGTTCCTCATCCGTTTAATTAACGTGCAATCAGATGGGGCCAAAAGCATGATTCTTTTAAGTTCTGCATCTCACCCACATATGCAAGTAGGAGTCTACAGACCTATCTTCTCCCTCCCCCATTCAGTTTTCAGGTTTTAAAAGTGTTTGTTCTCAGTCTCAATTCCTTTAATGTGATTGTTTAGCAACAGAGAGTCTTTAAAGTCAAATACACTGGTTTAAAATTAAAGACCTCACATGAAGCTGAACCTCTAAGGACCTTGCAGAAGCACTTTATTTTTTTTTTTAAGATTTTATTTATTTGACAGAGAAAGAGACAGCAAGAGAGGGAACACAAGCAGGGGGAGTGGGAGAGGGAGAAGCAGGCTTCCCGCGGAGCAGGGAGCCTGATGCAGGGTTCGATCCCAGGACCCTGGGATCATGACCTGAGCTGAAGGCAGATGCTTAACGACTGAGCCACCCAGGCACCCCTGCAGAAGCACTTTAAACTGAAAAATGACTCTAAGAATGGCTGAAGTGGGGAGTCACCAACAGCCTCAGACTCACCCAACAAATGTGCCTGGAGTCAGGTTGTGCCAAGGCCAACTAGCTCCAGTGTCATTTAGGATTTGACCTGAAAAACCAGCTAAAATCCTTCCAAGAAGTGAGAAATGTTTTCCCATCACCAGAGTTGCACGCCTCTGATGTACTGAGGCTTCTCCCCTCCAGGTGAAATGTCTCAGTGTCACCGTTTTCTTGTCAGACCTCCTTGACACTCTAGTATGTCAAAGGATGACAATCTTCAACAGAGAGAAAAAATGTAACTTGCATTTCTATTTTTCCTGAAAAATCTTAAGGTGTCACCAAGGAGGATGAGGCACTGGTTGTGAAGGTAGGTTTGGGTCCTAGGAGACAACATGGCCAGACACGAGGGCTCTGCTGTGAAGTCACAACACCTCTTGCTGAAAAACAGCAGGTCTCTCCATCAGATCCCCTGTTCTGGTTCTGACTTGGCTTGGGGTGACTCACAGACCCCAAGTCCAGAGAGAAAGGACATTCATTTATCTGGAAGGCTCTCCCTAACTTCTGAGTAAACAATCATTTCGCAAACTAGTCACATTTGAGGGCATTTTCAATTCAGGAAGCTAGGAGAATGGAAGAGGCTTAAGTTATTTCATAATCCAGTTTCATTAGATTTACTGTGCACTGGCACGAATAAGTTACAGAGGGTAGACACATAAAAATCAATTTCTTTGCAGACATTTGTGGACTGATAAAAGATCAAGCCAATCGAGCTATTAAAGTTTTAAACTTTTTTAAAACTACTAACAATACAAGTTACACATTGCTGACATTCCCCCTAATGAAGGGCCCGTCGGAGAACTCACTTGCCAGTCATCCTATCCTGGAGCATAACCCTCCGAGCTGCCTTTAGAACCAGTCGCTATCCTACAGGAGAGACTCAAGGAAACCAATACCTGAGGGCCAGAGCCTGGCAGCTCACTGCTGAGAGGCACAACAGGACATGTCACATTATAAAGACAGTCGGCAAGGAGTAGTGTGTGGCTCAGATCCGGCCAGCATCCATTTACTGAGCACGTACTGTGTGCCAGACCCTGGACCAGGTGCCTCATTAAATCCTCACAGCACAAAACAAATCTCTTAGTACAGACGAAAGCTCTAGAGAAATAACAAAGATGGAGTATGCTCCACAAACAAGTTCCATGGCCGGTACACAGGTACCTTACAAAGCAGCAGGATTTGAACACACAGATATCACACAGACTTGCCTTCTGTTCTTTCCTGTAGTCTCCCTCAGTCATTCCCAACTCAATTGCTGTATGTGGAGTTCACCAATACCACCAGGAATATATAAATCCACATTAAGTTGTTAGTCAAGCAAAGTAAGGGATTTTCGGGGATCTTTTGTCTCCAAGCAATTTCTGCCGGGAAGTGCTAACTGAGATCCTAACCCACATAGGACACACGATTCCATGGTACGTTCTTGGTGGCACCTGCACTGCAGGTTTGTCACACTTTGCTCTCCTGAGGGGGGAGGAAGCTCGGCCCCTACCTCATTGGCTCCGACAGAGCTGATCACACAGCTCAGCTTCTGGTTGTCCTTTGACTCCAGATAGATGGCCTGGCTCTTGTGGTACCTGCCAAAAAAACAAGACACAAGTTTATATATGTTTTTAGCCACTTTATCAAGGTAAGACTGATATGTTAAAAAAAAAAAAAAAGCCATACATATTTACTGTTTATAACTCAATGAGTCTGGGGTAAGTATATACACCTGTGAAATCATCACCACCATGAACACATCCATCTGCTCCCAAAGTCTCCTCCTGCCCTCTTCATCAAAATTATTTTTTTCTTTTGTAGGAAGAACACTTCGCATAAGGGCTATGCTCTTAACAAATTAAGTCAATAATACAGTATTATTAAAGGCACCAGTTTTTAAAAAGAAAGGAAAAAGGGGAAGAAAGGAAAACACCACAAAGAACATGATTGAAGGAGTCTTAATTTACATTTGAGGAAGAGTCTGGATTTCAAGTTTAATTTGAAGGCTCCACCCTTCGATTAGATGAGATGACCTCCTAATCTAAAACTTATATTCCTTGGTCCTTCTGCAGAGGGAAAAGGGAGGCGGGGGAAAGGCTGGGAAGCGAACTCCATGCTTACTTTTTATTTGGACTATACACCCCAATTCAATCAAAAAGTAAATTATAATTTTTCAAAATAAGACCTGTTCCCACTTTCCACGCATCCCAAAACACTGAAGAAGCTTGGGCGGACAAAATAAATAGCAGGGTTTGAACAACCGATCTATTATTTATTTTCAATATGTCCAAATTAAGTCATCCACAAGACGGCAGGCCAAATTCAACTCTTTCTTTGGTCACTCATTCAGCAAATACTCATTAATCACTGTGCAGCACTGAGGATGCTGGAGGTTGGAGGTGGACAGTGAACAGAACCACAAGGTCCCTGCAATCACACAGCTTCAAATACAGTGGCCGTGAAGAATACTGAGTAATCACAACTAGCAAGCACTAACCAGGCGAGGTTCGGAGTGTCAGGGTGTGCACCCCAGGGGGTCTGATTTGACCTGGTCAGTTGGGAGAGCTGCCTTACATGGAGCAGACCAGACAGACACTCCATTTCGGCCCCAGTAGCCATCCTCTTGGCCTGTAGCACAGGACCACCTTCAACTTCTCCCAGTTCAGAAGTAAGGCCGAGGATGAAAGTGAGGAAGCCAGGGCCAAAGCCCAAATGAGACAAGAGCAGCTCCACAGGAAGAAGGAGCAGCTGCTGGGCTACAAGAGCTGGAAACATGAGCCGAGCTGCTGCTGGAAGCCCTGGCCGGGGCCAGCCCCAGTCAGGCAGGAACATAACCTCTGCTTCATTCTGGCTGCACAGATCTGGCTAAAGCAGACACACTAACTCCTGCAAATTCTACCAAAATGCATCTCCCAGAAAGTACCGCATGTTATCATTATTTCGGGGGAGGGTGGGGAGGCAGACTGTTTCACTGGTATAATAAATAATCTACTGCCAGGATATCACAGTAAAGAGATGTACTTCACTCCCACAATGAGCTTTTTCCAATCTAGGTTCTAAGCGCTCTTTAACCTGCTACTCAGGAGCTGAAAACTCAGGTTTCCAACTCAATTTACTTCCTGAAAACACTGTTAAAAGAAATTGAATCATAAATGCAATTAGAACAGCGAGATTGGTTTAGACTCAGCTTTAAAGCTGCTTTTGGCCAGAGATCAGTTGGTAAACTGGGTCAGGGGACCTTCATTATGCTAAATATGTAATATCACAAGGTCTGAAGTATACAGTGCACGAGGAAAGGCTGAATTAGTTCACAGCGTGACTCAAAAATTCCCGTTGCCCTCCCACATCTAAGCCAACTTTCCTACGTAAATAATAACATCTTGAGTGATGGTTAGAGTAAAATTACAGAGCGGGAGAACATTCGAAGTTATTCTATGGGGACTGTGAGTTATTAAATAATGAGATAAAGACACAAAGCATCCACCTAGCCTCAAGTCATTCTGATACTATTTCCTAAATACTTTAATAAAAAAAGGTCACAGTGTGGTGAAGGAGTATGTTACTAGTGTAGAAACATGCTCAATATACTGCAAGTGGAGGGGGGGAAATCTATGTCCATTACATTCCTGTGCTTGTAAAAAAACACATGCTATATGTGTATTACACACACACAGAAAAAATTGGGTAAAGTTATGTAGTTAAGATGTATAATAAAACGTGTATTACAACTTTATAGAAATATGAAATGTAAATTAAGAATGGTATTCTTTTCATTGCATGGCTTTCTTTTTTCTGAAATAACGTTATTACTCATTAAAAATTAAATAAGTCACGGTTTTGGAAAAAGCTAGATAACAAAGATGGGTAAAAACAAAACTTGATGTTAAAATTCACATCTTAATGTCTTCAAGGACAGCAGCTAACTCTGGGAGACTAGTCAAACAATTCTCATGAGATGTGCTGCATTTTCCTTCAGATGTGTGCAGAACCCAAACCCCAACACCTCTGGCTGGCTTGAAAATGAATACCGGAAGTAATAAGATCTGGCCTATTACCAACCCACCTCCCCCGGAGGTGGTCTGGCCACCTCCCAAATCTGCCTGCTTTGGGGTAACCAAATGGTGGTGGCTTGGAATGTCCACCACTGGTCACTATCTGCTCCACAGCAGAGCTGGCCTGCGTGTTTCCCAAAACAACCCACTTCCAAGCCAACGGAATCTCAGATCCTCCTGAACCAGATTCTCATACACCACACAACACAACAGTCTTGGGGAACTGTTATCCCTGGATATCAAATCTATTCAACTACCTGAATTCTCTGGGGGGAAAAAAAAATCCTCAGAAATTAGCATTCATATTTTCAAGATGAAACTAAAAAGTATAGGATAACCTTAACATACAAATTTACTTTTTAATTTCTAAAGACTAATAAAAGAGGGGGAGAGAATTCAAAATAAATATAGACATAAAAACTGTTAAAAAGCAACAACAGAGCTAAAAATGTACATTATCATTTTTTTGCCAAGTAACCCATTTTATAAGCTGCAACTCATCTCAGATGAAAAAAAATACTTCAAATAGCCTCAGAGAACAAGCCCCAAAAGTCAAACTGACTTGACTTTACTACTAATGGAAGTCCTGACCTGGGAATCCCAATAAATGAGCTCTTAGAGCTTTGCTTCTACTATTAAACCCAATGAACTAGAATCAACAGTACTATTATGGAAGAAGGCAATTTCTTCAAAAGGTGGGTCAAAAAGGAGGGGGTAGAATTAATTTAATTTTGTATCCTATTGGGAATCCTGATATTAACGTTTCATTTCCCCACCCCACCCCCCAAAAAAACCTGAATACCATGTTAAGCTCTGGAACCTCAAGGAGTCCCAATGCCAGTTGTAAACATTCACCGTCTTAACAGTCTTTGTCAGTCGGAGGCTGGGGGGGGTGGGGAGGACTTCATTCCTGATTCACATTAGCAGCCCGAGAAAGTGAGGAGAGATAAACCAGGCTGCCGGCACCATTAGTTAGTTATTTTAAAATATCAGCTACTTCCATGGTACTTTTAAGAAGGGTCATTAGTCCAAATCAAAATGTGAGGAAAACTTACAGCAGGACATAAAATGCCTTAAAAGCACTACCAGACCAAGGCAAAGTGAAGATGCTTATCTTTCAAAATGAAATGTAGCTTGGTAAGTGTTCATGCCAAGATGGGAAGCCTGAATCACACTCATTTTGCTGAAGTCATTTAAAACTCAATGAAACATGTTTTGCCAGAAGTACTGTTGCACCCAAATATTCCATACCACTGGGGAGAGCATAAAGTGTTTCACTTGACCTCTCAGCCACAGGCCGTGATTGGCGAAAAAGAAGGAAGAATGAAAGCCTCCCAACTGACAGGACACAAAGGCTAAACATCAAGTTGAGCCTGGTGAGAGATGAGGCCAGCTATGCACTGGTCAGAGCATGGGCCAGGAACCCCATGAATACCTTCCAAATGTGGCAGGGAAAGGAGGGAAACACCTTCCCACAAAGGTGTCATCAACTCTGACTGCCAAGGCTAAAAGGAAAAACACAGAATACAGATGAAAAGAACAGTCTCCATATTCAACAACACGCAACTTGAAATTCACTGAAAAAGGAAAATGCTCCCAGAGACCTTCTTTTCAAAATTTCTGCAGCCCCTATGAGAAAGACAGCGAAATTCACTCAAAATGCTCAGGAGGTCTAGCAGAGCAAAAGTGACCACTCTATTTATGTTATGAAACACCAGGCACCGTAGATCCCTTCTTTGGAAAAACAAGAATTTTCTCTTACTGCATTTTCACCCTCAAGACAAGTCTCATAAAGTCTAAAAATTAAGCCTCAGAAAGAAGATCTGAAGCAACACAATTACAAAATGAACATCATTTGAAATATCACACAGCTTTAAGACTCACAGATCCGTAAAAATGTTAGTGATAAATCTCATCGTTTTTGAAGACGGCTCTTATGTGTGGGCTTGATCTTTAAAGGTTATTTGGTTTTCACTATTAGAAACATTTTTCATCTTATTTTGCCCCTCAGTGTGTTGAGCTGTTAGGGCCTGCCACCTAGTGGCGATATGCTTTGAGAAGCAATGTCAGGATACACTAACTGGTCTTTGAAGAAAACTAAATAGTCAAATGAGAGGGGCAGAAGTCACTAAGATCAGGCTCATAGAGGCGGCCTTCACCATCGACTGAGTAATTAACTCACTAATATTTTGGTGGAACGGACTTATTTTGGGCATGACTAGATTTCTAAGCATTTCTGCCAACTTCAGAAGGATAATAGTTTAAGGTAATCAACTAACAATCTTGGGGTTTTTCTTCTTTAGCAAAGCTCAAACAATTCAAAATAACTATTACTCTAATTTTGGAACTTTGGGTTAATATATTGAAACTCAAAACATCATTAAAAATGACAGCCATCATAAATGATAATTACAGAGAACATACAGTAACCCCAGATAAACATTCTCCATACAAACAAGTAGAAATTCAGAATGCAAATGTGTCCACCAAGACTTAAACTGAGTATGCCTGCATACGGACAATGAATAAAGGAATATGTCAGAATTAAAGGAACTGTAACAAGGAGGTAGGATCTAGATGGCTTAACACCTAGCAGAATCTGGGGCTACAGAGGAGATAGTAATGTTTATTGAATGAACAAGTGAATGAGTTTGCAAGTTCTCACACTGCTTTACAATTTCCTTGCTGATGGAAACACTGGTGGTCTGACGATTTTAAACTGTCTTTATTCTCAAATATTTCTGGCATGTTAAAAAACTAATTTAACATACCTATATACTCCCATGCAGCTCAGAAATAAAATTATACAGATAGCAGTTAAAAAACAAAAAAACTGTCTTTAGTATAAACTGCTAATGTTTGAGGATTCAATTCCCCCCAAGTATGTTTCCTGGAACACTCATATAGCAGGATGATGCATGCAAAAAGGGCACCCTGGGTCAAATAAGTAATACTTGATAACATCTCAGAAATTTGCAGCGCACACGAGGGTATCAGAGAACCAAAGAGCACCTAGAGCAAAGAAACCCTTTAACTAACATGGTCATCCCCCAGGCTCATCTGACCACAAACTGCTTTTTTGCACAGAACACCTATTCATTCTGGTGCACAAGGGCAGAGTTAAGAGAAGGCAGAAAGGGACATAAGCCCTGGCCTCAGTCTACAGGGGCAGCACCAAAGATAGAAGCCTGCAAATTCTAGTACGATGCCAGCAGCGCAGACAGAGGAGGGGGGCTCCCATAGGAACATGTTTTCAGGAAACACTGCCTTCAGAGATCGAATGAGCAGTATGGATCAAATGACTCCTGACACGTTCACGTTTTTTGTTGTTGTTGTTGTTTTAAACCAAGCTTTACGCCCAACATGGGGCTCGAACTCCTGACCCTGAGAGCAACAGTCGCATGCTCCACTGACTGAGCCGGCCAGGCGCCCCGGTCCTAATGCACTTTGAAATGTTATTCCACTTCAGTACGATGTAAGCTAAGCAGCGGCCGTGCTCGGAAACAATGAGATAGAGCCCCAGCCCTCTTTCATGGGTTCTTTGGAGACTTTTAACGAATAATCTGTGTTTTTCCATAACATACCATCTTTTATCATAGTACAGTTTCCCGTCTTCTATCCGAGCTTCAAACCTCTGGGCTGGAGACTCTGCCGGTGTGGCAGGCAAGTGTTCAGGAGAGGACGGGGATGCTGGCGGAACCAAAGATATGTCAATGACTAAGCGTGTAACAAGCACGTGGGTCTGACAACTAACATGCTTGAACTGAAATGCTATTAAAAAGTGGTACTAATCATGATCATTAAGTCCTTAGGGGTGTAAAAATGAGAATTCAACAAAATTCAAAAAAATATTTCGCCTAACTTGCTCCTCAATGCAGCCCTGTGAGGTAGGCAAGGCAAAGGTTCCCCTCACTGAACAGAGGAGAAACCGGGGATGCAGGCAGGCTAAGTGATTTGCCCGAGGGATCATCAGAAGCCCAGAAAGGCAGGAATTAGGAAAATCTCTTTAAAATTTTAAATCTGAAGTCATTTCTAGAACTATCTATTACTAGGTAGAGCTAGCACTACAGTGGGTTCAAAGGATCTAAATTCACACACTTCCATAACCCCCTCCCCATCATGCCTTCAGAAACACGGGACCTATCTGGGGGCCACGGCAGCTCTCAGAAGGAAATTGTTGTTTCCTTCCATGAGGCTTGGTGAGTGGACAGACATGTGAGTAATCACAGTGCTTAAAAAGTAACAATGCCTTGCCTGTCCAGAATTCTATCTTGCAGCCTAGCACAGACTCTCAAGTGCCACTCTGGAAGGAACCACTGCGAACACTGGGCTGGCCTCTTCTGTAAGCTGGGACTGTGAATCCCTCACCAGAGCCAGGCCATGACGCACCACTGGACCAGCGGTGCCCAGCACTTCACTCCACAAAGCAAGTAATACTGAAAAATCCTTCTGGTTTCATTTCCAGAAATGGAGGTGTACTTAAATCTATGCCTGATGCCTACACAGAAGGAAACCTCTACCAGCCTATCAATCAAATGTCTCTTTTACAAGGAATCAAGGAAAAAGTAAAATTAACTTTAACATAGCAGTGTAAAAAAAAAATCAGGGGAGAGGGCACTCAAGGTTCCCTTCAGTATTCATGATGACTACTCCTAGGCAAACGAGGAACGTTTTATTTTTGAAAACTGCAACAATTCCTTGTCAGGTATAAGCATGCTTTTCGCACAACATGACAAAAAAGATGGCAGAGATACCAGCAACACTGTGCACTTACCTGGTCTCTTGGGTGACTTAAGCTGTAGGAAGAACAACAAGAAATCTTAGATCATTTCAGATGCAACGTAAAGTGTCAAAGGTATCAAAAACGATTTAACAAGTAATATGCGAATGACATAAACCTAAGCTTTCAAATAAATAAAGAAAAAAATCAAACTGTACCTTATTTAACGTTCTCAGATCCTCCATGATCTGTTCATCTGTTAACAAATAGTTTAGCTGGGGTGTTGAGAGTTAAAGGAACGTGTCTGAGAAGCATGGTTTCCAAGCAAGCAGAAATCAACAAAAACGGTACCAGGATTTTAGGATTTACAGCGTGACTCTGTCGGATGCTCTTCCTACAACCATTTGCCTCTCGGAAGTTACTGACTCCACTGAATGTTGTGGTGCCCAGGTACGTAAAAGAACCCACAAATGTCTTTCAAACATCTCTAAGTCATTCAGTAAGTCCAAGAATGAGAGCACAGGACACAGGAGGAGAACTTCCTCAATTTATTAAGTGCTTTTGTTCCAAAGATCTGAAGCCTTGCAATGTGTGTGCGCGCACACACACACAGACGTGGGCTTATTCTTCCCACATAACTTAAACTCTCAGTTGTGCAAAGGAACCTGAAGTTAAACCCTTTCTTGATGGCAGACAACTGAATCATTTTGTATAAACGGCTACTTATCCTCTCCGCATGGATAAAAACAGAATTTTGCTGTGTGTGCCCTACTCCCCCTCCCATTTTTATGATTAAAGGGCTTTTTTATGTGACTGAAATCTCATTTGCTTTAATTTAACAACTTGCGTTCCACTGTTTTCGGGATATAGATGATGGAGGTACAAAAGGCAGGTATTACTGGCCTCATTTTACAAGTAGAAAAATTAAAGCATGTGAAATCTGAGGTCATCCTTGAATCTCCAAATGTAAAAACCATGTTGAACTTGTAGCACGAAGTGCCTTTCCAAATAACTGTTCTCTACAAATTCCCCCCACCAGAAGCAGCAGCAATCGAGGACTCAATAATAAAACGGCCATTCCCAGGGCGCCTGGGTGACTGTTAAGCAGCTGACTCTTGGTTTGGGCTCAGGTCTGATCTCAGAGTCATGGGATCGAGCCCGACACTGGGCTCTGTGCTTAGCATGAAGCCTGCTTGGGATTCTCTCTCCCTCTCCCTCACCCTCTGCCCCTCTTGCTTGTGCTCATGCTTGCGCTCTCTCTCTCAAATAAATAAATCTTTTAAAAAAATTGGCTATTCCCTAGCGCAGGGATAAATACAGATGCCTGCCAATCACATACAATTTCTGTAGGACGATGGCCATGTATATTCTAGCAAACGGATAAGCAAACGATTCAGTAGTCTTAAGAAAAAAAGCAATTAAGGCTTGATGCAAATGGATATCAGGAGCGGGTTTTCTCCTCTTGTCTGGGATGGGGACAGGATCATTTGGTCGCCTCCGCAACTTTCTGGTCATGATGGGTTTCACTTCCATAGAATCTGTGGCAAGAATTGAATGGGTAAATCTATCCAATTCCCACTTGAAGTAAGAATCGCTGTACTATAAGAATATCTGCCCCACAGCCACCCAATCAGAACTGTTTTATTGGGAACATTTGGTTCACACTTGGCCTAAGCCAGACACTCATATCAGACATCAGCGAGAGGGCTGTGGTTAGAAGACTCAGACTGGCTGGCCTAAGCGCACATCCCTCTCGGAAATGCAGCTCAGCCGAGCAGTCTACCTGTGGAAGCCTCTCTCCAGCGTCCCAAAAACTAGGACTTTCCTCCTCTTCCCTCAAATTCAGAAGCCACAGAATGGTAGGCTCTTGGGATCAGAAGGAAACTTTGGATCATCTGGGTAAACCAATTCCTGCTGTTCCCATGGAGGGAGAACTGAAGCGCACTCATGCACAAGACTCTGAGAGGCCACGGGCCTCAGTGCCAACATCTTTATAGGACTTGTTCATTTACAACCTTGGACTCTCTCATTTTGTTTTATAACCTCTTATAGCTACTTGACTATCAAGAATGATCTAATGAAGCCTCATAATAAAGTCTCTTTAATTCTTCTTAACTTCTCTCTGCAGCCTGACACTGTTGCTGACTCTCCTTGCCTTAAAACCTCTCCTGCCCTAGCTACCATCGCACCCATCTCTCCTCTCCTGATCTGCCTCCTTGGGCTCCTTTCTGCTGGTGACCACAGGAGTCCAGTCAGTTTCCAGCCTCTGTCCCAGTGAGTTTCCATCGCCAATGCCAGCTCCCCCAACCTTCTGAATGGCAACCTACACCCACCAACACCATCCACTCCCAGTGACCCAAGCGACCTCACTTCTCGTCTCACCTCCCATGGCTGCCTCCTCTCCCGTGTCTCGGGGAAATCACATCTGTCCCTTTTTCCCAGCCAGAACAGAATCTGTCACTGTGACGTACCTTCCTCCCGCCAAACACCATATTCACCAGACCATGGGCAGTTTTGCCGTTAAACCACCTCCCAACTCTATCCCCTCGTCCTGGTCTCACCTCCCTCAGAGCCATCTTCCTAAGACACAGATCAGATCATTCTACACATCCCCCTTCGTATTCAATACTTTTACGGCTCACCACACCCTACAGAAAAAAAGCCAAGTCTCTTTCCGGTCTTGCCCCTCCTTCATTCACACAAACACTGTGTGAGAGCTTTTGGCTAAGTCTCTCACCCGAGGTCACCTGCCTTACTATGCCCTCAGGCCTTTACACGTTGTCCCCTCGACCCGGCCCCCTCTTTTCTGCCCGGCATACTCCTACCCAACATCCCCTGAAAGCCAGTTCAACGCTCCCCATCCCATGACGGCTTCCAGAGTCACACTCTCTTCCAAGCCACCAGAGCAAACCTCCGTACAAACCTCTGCTAGCAAGCACCACACCGTATGGGACGTTTTCCCCAGGGACACCTGAATTCCACCCCAGCACCTCACAGCAGCTCGGGCACACAGGAGGGGTTCGACAGAGTCGTTTCCTGCAGAACGACTAGATGAGGTCAAGCCCGACGAGATCGTTCCTTCATGACCATGCATACTATCAGCACAGCACAGCCTTACGGAATCCAAGCGCAGCCGTTCCACCACAGCAACGTGCACAATCTGCGAGTATATAATAATCACGTGGACAAAGTCAAAAGATACTTCTGCGTGTTGCTCTAAGAAGGGAAATGGGCAACACTGATTTTTTTTTTTTTACCCCCTATAAACGGAGAAGAAGTGATGCGAACCACAGATCTGGTGAGTACTTATTTGTAAAGGTGTACGTGGGAGAAGGCGCAGAAGGAAGGAGGACAAACACACTCGCCCCTGAGAAAAAGTGAGGAGGGGAGACAGTCCGTCCTCTCTACAAGAAATCTCTCACCTTCCGCTGAGCTGACACTCTTCTCCAGTTATTACTGGCCAGGGGGTGTGAATCCCTGCTGCAGCTGTGTGACCTAAGGCGGGCTACATAAACACTCTGTCTCCACTCTCTTCACCTATAAAATGGAATTATCAGCAATACCTCCCCCACAGAATGTTGGGAGGGTTACAGGAGATGATACCAGGAAAGCCCTAAACATGGTGCCTGGCGTAGCAAAAGTTCAATCGATGCTAATTTTTATTACCGCATCTGCAGCCAGGAAAACACTATAGAAAAATCTTTTCGAAAAGTCAAGGTGCAAACAGCTGAATGAAGTTACATACTTGAGGACAACCGATGTCAGCTGTGAGGCTTTGCAACATTCATGCCTAATTCGGAAAATAAGGTGTGAAGGGAGCTCACCCAACCCAAAGACCACTGGAGAAGGAGCACTTAGCACGTGAGCATCATGGGATGTTCTGTCCACTAAAGACAATGTCCCAGTGCGCCCTGCCCTCTGGGCTGCCAAGTCTGGGGGGTGGGGAGGGTGGGCAATACATGATGGAAGTAAGCCAAGTAAAGGCACAGCTGAGAGAATGTGGGAATAACCTAGTCTAATCATGGCTAGTAAGCTCAAAGTCGTACCTGCATCACTCATAGATCAGAAAATATAATCAAATTCTTCTTACGAAATAGTGAAAAATCAATCCATTTTATTAGCCTAGCCACCACAATAACCTAATCAATTTTCATCCAAAAGATGACTTCAGCAGAAGGAAGGTGATCTGAAAACGCCTTTGAAATGTACTGGCCTGTCCCCACCACCATCCAGGAGCGGAGGCGTGGGGAGAAGTCCTGGCCAGTGGTCCAGGTGGAAGATGGGACTCGTGGGGAAGACCACCATGTAAGTATCACAGCCCCAAAACTACACAGCAGATTACCTACTCCACTCACTTTGCTCCAACCTCCTGAGCTAGATTTTTCAGCGAGAGAAAGGATATCTAACTACCTGGGTCTGAAACCACCCAGAAGTTCCACTTCTCACGAGAAGAGACTGGCCTTCTGAGTTTATAACATCAGGGTCCTTGGAGTTTGGCGAGAGTCCCAAGGGGCTCAATCTGCATCCACCACAAAAATCAAACTTCCGGAAGGGACACCCAGACCTTGGAGCGTGGCACCCATGCAGAAGGCACTTAAGCAGGAAATCAGTCTGCCTCGCAGACAAGCCCAACACAACTCTGACTTAAATCAGAAAGCCTCTCAGCAAACCTAGGACCCTTCCTGGGTTTGCTTCCGTGGGGATACTTACTATCTGCGATCTAACCGAACACCAAACACAGGGGCGGGGGGGCGGGGCGGGGACAGGAGACAGAAACACTGAACAAGTGCTCCTCTCCGAACCACCTCAACTACGTGAAAATAGTGCAAATCCTCCTGCTCTGCTCACTCGCAAGGCCAGTAGGAACAGCCACACCTGACAGACACAGGCACTCTCCAGGCGGCACTGGGCATGCTGGCTAAGAAATGGGAGCACAGGCTGAATCAGTGCTGCGCAGAGCCGTCACAGCATCGTCCCTATGGAGACATACTCCCGATAACAGTAATTACCTGCCATTACCATACAATTAGCACTTTCCTACTGGCCTTGGGTTCCACACTTCTCTGGGCCTAGTCATTCACTCCAGCAGCTTACCTGTCTACAGCACACAAATGCAGTAAAAACTTCACGTGAACACAGTTTAACTATTAAGACCAACCCATACTTGTTTAGCTACTGAAAAAATATCAGTTGCAGTTCAAAAGAGCATCCTTAAGAAAAAGAATGTTGGGGCGCCTGGGTGGCTCAGTCAGTAGAGCATGTGACTACTGATCTTGGGGTCATGAGTTCGAGCCCCATGTTGGGCGTAGAGATTACATAAATAAACTTAAATATATACATATCGGGGCACCCGGGTGGTGCGGTTGGTTAAGCACCTGACTCTTGGTTTCAGCTCATGATCTCAGGGTCATGAGATCAGAGCACGGAGCTGGGCTCCACACTCAGCAGGGAATCTGCTTGAGTTTCTCTCCCTCTGATCTTCCTACCCGACCCCCCAACACTGGTCTGCACTCTCTCATAAATAAAAAATTAAAAAGGCCACTACAGAGCGACCACTGTAGCAGATCGGCAATTACCCACAAACCAGGTGCAGTGCAACATGGGGCGGGCCTAGAGGCCCAGAGCAGAGCCAAGCAGGCCCCTCTCTAAGGGGCTGGCAGGCTCATCAGCATCAGGAATGGCCGCGGCGGCGGGTGCCTGTGGGAGATGGCTGGGGAGAGGTGAGAGAAGAACCAAGGTCAGGTCTTCAGTGACCAACCAGGGTAGGAACAAAGGGCCCCATCTCCCTCAGGCCAAAGCTGTCCAGAGAACAAGGATGGCATTCAACTGCAGAGAAAACTCACGCTCAGGTAATTCCACCTACACCCTCACTACTCAAAGTGTTGTCCAGCCAACAGCATCAGCAGTCCCCAGGAGGCAGTTAGAGACGCAGGGTCGCAGGCTCCACCCCAGACCCGCTGAAGCAGCAGCTGCACGTCACCAAGACCCCCAGCTGACTCACACACACCCCCAAGCGGTGGGGGGCACTGATGGATAATTCATCCCAGGCTCCTTACCGACAGCACACCCTTCCACCTGCACAAACTGCTAGGTTCTTCTCAAGCAGTGTGGGCAGTGGAGAGAACCTCCCACCAACTCCCACAGAGTCTGCAAATGCTCTCAGTCCCGTTCAGACAAAGCAGGTCACTTGACCTCCCCATTCCCAATGGGTTATTTGGTCTAAGCTTCCCAGCCACCTCTAATTCCAATGCTGTTTTTCGAGAGATCTTCACGTTTAACCAGAGGAGGAGATTTTAAGGAATAGCTTTTCCGGGCAACGCTAGGCAACGCTGATACTGGGCATCAATCCACAAAGGTGAAATAAGTCACTCAATGAGAGGAATGCAATCAGGCCTTTAATCCAGCCCCGCGGCAGCACCATCTGTGGAAACGCTAATTACCCTTCTAGCTCCAGCGCCTGTTCTTCCGACACTCTATCATTACCTTGGCACAGCTTTCCATACGAAGGGTACCAAATGGCTTGAGGAAGGACATCGGTACCTTTAATGCCCATGGCCAGCTTTAAGCACTGTGTAATCTATTTTACTGCGTAACAAATGACTTCCCTGCATTTATTTGTCTTTCCTACCCTGGCAGGCTCAGCCCCCAGTCACTGGAGGTGCCTCCCGTCCCAGTTGAGATTCTGGCTGCAAAACGGCCTGGCCAAACAATGTCTATTGCTTGTCAATAATCAGGATGCCAAATCACAGGTAAGGTGATGATACCCTTCCCTGCAGATGGAAAGGGAGCAGCTATAAACTGACAATATTTCCCACTAGCCTAATGAAGACTCCTGAACATCTGGTGGCTCTAGCAGAGCGCGATGAGGCATCAAAGCCAGAGACAGCCACCGTCAAAGAAAACGGTGTACAGGTCAGAAAACAGGCAGACTGGTACGGAACAAGGCAGCACAGGGCTAGCGGTCTAATCAACAAAGCGTGGCCACAAGAACAAGACAGTGCTGTCTGAAGATGCTATCTTAGCATTCATGCTCACCAAAAAAACATTTCTGAGCGCTTTCAGAGGCCTTCAAGGAATTAATTCCTTCTGCCAAAGTCTTTCAAGGAGAGATACAAGAGAGATTTTTCAAGAATCAGACCCCCCACCCACTTCAGACACACCACATCATTCTCATAGGTCTCTAATGGGGGTTGGGGCCAGAAGTTTATGTCAAATGAAGGGCCATGCTGGGTCACAGCACCAGAAATACAGAAGGGGAAATACCATTTCTCAACTGTTATATTTAAAGTCCTCCCCCAAGGACTTCATGTGCAAACAGTGCATCTCTTATTATGGACTGCTACTAAAATCAGACACGCCAGAGCCGCAGCACCTTCTGTACATGGCAAGAGTGAAATCTGGGGGTGCGCAGAAAGCATGCGCTTACACGCCCAGGTGACAAACTCACCACTGACTTGTCTCGCAGTATTCGCTGACAAATTTTGCCAAGTTCCCAAATACCGAGTTCAGGCCACTCCCCACCCTGTATTCTTCTAGGATTCATCAGTCTACACATATGGCAACAGAATAGTTAGCCCATATTGCCTCTCCCTTAAACCTGCCTAGACCCTGCTGAGTTCCCGGACGCAGATTCCTAAAAACTAGAAGGCAAGCGAGAGACTGGCACAGAGTCTAATGTAACTTTACTACCTTCACAGGAAACTTGTTCAGTTTAGCTTCCTCCTGCCAAGTTTGTACCAACTCTGCCTGAAATGTTCACAGTAACACCTGGGGAAGGGATCTAAGAACACAGATGATACAGTCAAATGCCTTTGTTCTCACATCTAGGTCAAAGAAAGACAATGCCTTTTCTGTAATCAAGGCAGACTGGGGGGGGGGGGAAAGGCAGAGAGATTCCCCCCCCCCGCCCCCCGGGGACGTGGATAAGTCATCCGTGAATGGCAGCTGACCCAGGAATTAAATAAAGCATAAGCCAGCAGTTGCAGCAACAACTAAAGGTCTACATTTACTGAACATCCGTTACACACAGGGCATTATGCTAGGCACTCACATTTCTGACCACAATCCTGTAAGACAAGGTCTGATCAGCCCCGTTTTATAGAGGGGGAAATAGGCTCAGAGATATTCAGTGGCTTGACCAAAGTCACACAGCCAATACCAGACAGAGCTTAAACCTGTCAAAGCCCACCCTCCTTCCGGCTGGCTCCGCTCAGAGGAGGAACGGAGTTAGGACAGAGGAGGGACCGCCGCACCCCTCCGGGCCCTCCCCCCCCACGGCTCCCAGGATCCTGCTCTGGATGCTTTCATACCTCCTGTCAGCTCCATCGTCAGCTTTTCATTTTCGATCATTTTCTTCTTCTCCTCTAGCTCAGCAATCAGGTTCTCTTTCAGCTCCACCTTCTTGTCTTCAAATTCTTTCACTGCTGCCTTCTTTTCTTTAATGTAGTTTCTCTCCACCTGTTCAGTCTGAGCAAAAGAGAAAACACAGGCTAGGGCTCCATGGGGCCCTTGCAGCCAGGGCTCCAACTCCCAAGTATGGCTCTGCACTCAAGGGCCCAGAAAACACCTTTACGAGAAAGGTGGGACAGCGGCACTCACACGTGCACTGGCAGTAACGGGATGTCTGGGAGCAAGTTTCCCAACAAATGCATAAAATTGAACCATACGACTTCTGCTTGTCTTTACGAGCATACCCAGCTTGCTACTATTTCCTCTCTTCCGCCTCTTACACCGCATGGCTTCTATGTTAAAACTTAAGATTCTCAAAGACAAACTCTTTTAAAGCCACAATTTCAAAGGAAAATAGTACATTCCAGATGAAACACCTACATTCAAAATTAGCTGCAATTACAAAATAGTCAGGGTGGCCCAAGTTACTGTATTTGTTGATACTGATACCAAGATAAAAATCAACTAGAGTAGAAGATCTGTTAGGTACCTGAACCCTTAAGTACTCAAACACTGAAACAATACTAAATAAAAAGGCATTCATTTTTTAAATCTCACCACCATATTAAGAACAAGGGAGCTTATGGTGGGCTATGGCTGTGGATCATGTAATCCTGCGGGCTGTGACTATGTGTGTTGCACTGACTTCAGTAGTAAAATGGTTTCTGATAACGTGCTCTGTTAAAGCATGACCCTGTCACACTCGCGTGTGGCTCTGATAAAGTCAGGACTCCCCCCACACATACAAACTAGCCACCCCAGAAACAGATTATCATCCAAGATTCAGACTCTCATCTCTGTACCACAGCACCGTGCTTCACAAAGAACCAACATTCCGATGTCTGCTGAAGGAAAGGAAAAATGTTAAATCCGTCTTTCCTACTGATCCAGACAGCTTTGGCTATAAAACTGAACCACTGAGCCAATTCAGAGACTGGGCTGCATCAAGGACCAATATAACAAATTATTAGACCATTATAATTCAGACATACTCCCCAATGGCTTTAACGTGAGATGAAAGTCAACAAGAAAGCAGTAATGGGTATCCCCTAGTCCCCTGTGATAATGAGAGGCTGCCCAACCTATAAATGAATAGATGGGAATTTCTAAACTGAGACCCAAAATGTCCTTTAGTCAAACAAAACAGTGATGAAGGCTTGCGGCTGGGGGCTTCTTAACTGTCCATTTGGTGACAGAAGGAAAGGTCTCTGGATTGGGAGAGCAAGATTCCAGTCTCAGAAAGGGCCTGCAAACCCAGAAGATCCAAGGTACTTACTTCCAGCTGGAGGAAGAGTTCTGAAAGAGATAAAACGTGCAATTAGATTCGCAAGGCTGTGTCACCTTTCTAGACAGTGATGGTAGGATTCGTTTAGAGGCAGTAATTGCTTTCTGAAAGCACGGTTACACAGAGCAAATGCTTCCACCACTAAAGTATTGATATACATGAGGGGGAAGGATGGAAGAAGCACTCATGTCTAGTTAAAATTTGGCCCTGAACAGAATCCCTTTCGGCAGTTCTGCCCAAGGGCAAAAGCAAGCAGCAGAAACCAAACTCCCCTGGCAAAATAAAACTGGAAGCTATCCCTTCTCTCACTCAGTCCATACCCTCCAACAGTCCTACAGGGTAGGATGAGTCAGGAAGGAACAGCGCAGTTACTCAAGAAGCAGAGTCAACACTGATGTTTTTAAAGCACGGGTGAAGGGCTGTGTGTGGCAGGAAGGCTATTCCTGGAGAACTCAGAGGGCAGAGGTTCTGTGCCCGCCCCCCCCCCCCCCCCGCCCCGAGGCATTCTTCACAGGCCACCAAGCCCCCTCGTATGGCTGCTCCTCTACGGCAACACCCTCTGGGTCTGAGTACAATTCCAAGCTTCAGATCTAATGTAGCCCTTCCTGAGGACCCTTCACTTACCAACCCCCTCTCAGACACATCCAGGTGTCCAATGGAGAGTAGTCAACAGCTTATTTGTCACCTGCTATGTGCAGGCAATTAACAATTGTTTAGCCAGCAGCTCCCCCATCGCTAGATTATAAGCCTCTCTACAGAGCCAGTCCTGTGAACAAAATAGGTCCATGGCATCTCATCTTTCCTGGGTGACGGTGGAGCTGCTGCCTATGTCACACAGACTGCTGGTGAGCCAAAAACTCCAGGAGGCGCTGTTCACATTTCACCACAGTCTCCTTCACAAATGTGATAAAGACTATGGATCTCTTTCCCCCTAAAACAGCATATATGCACATCTACACGTGATTTCATAGAATTTTGAGTTTCAGGACTCCCGATTAAGAATTCAGATCTCAATTAACAGATGTTGAATAAAAAATTTAACTGGGGAGGGGCGTCTGGCTGGCTCAGTCAATGGAGCACAGGACACTTAATCGGGGTTTTGAGTTCAAGCCCCACGCTAGGCGTGGAGCCTACTGAAAAAAAAAAAAAAAAAAAACAAAGAAATTTAACTGAACAAAGGGACAAGCCGCTCATTATTTCCTACCACCACCCCCACACCCCCCGGTTGCCCTGATCACTCTGGCCCTGGGAATGGCTGAGTACATGAGCCCAGGTACACCCAGCCTAACACGCTCACTCCCACAAGTGCTTTAGATGCACAAAAGAACTTGACGCATTGACTATGTGCCATTCTCAGAAATCACCCCTGCACCAAGTCAAACTGGCAATCATCTCTCAGAGCTGCTGGTCATTGTTTGAGTTACAACAACCAGGCACCAACACAAATAGAAGAGGTGTGTTAGCTCTGTGAGAACGTGCTCTTTAAGGCTCAAGCTGGGACTGACTTAGTTCTTCTGCATTCGTACCTGGGGGGCAGGGGAGAGAAATGTTTCTGAAAGAACACGCAAGGACAGGATTAAGAGTGGAACTAAGGAAAACCACTCAATCCTCACGCTGCAGTTCTAGCTGCAGAAAAAAGGCTGTCAATTTACTTTCCTTACTTGCATCTTAAACCATTCCGTGAGGCGTTCGTACCCCTCCTGCAGATGGGGAACCTGAGGCTCCGAGAGCAAAACCTGCTTACAGGAACAAGACCTAAAGTGCAGAGAGAAGACCTAAACCTAGGACCTCACCCCTCCACAGTGCACCTCCTTTCCCTGCTAGAGGGGAACACCGAGAAGGCGGCAGGGGATGTGGAATCTGTGGAAGATTCCCAAGGAGATGCCTCAGGGCCTCAGATCGTAGTGGGGGTAACCTCAGGGGCAGGCGGGATGTTGGCGGGCAGAAGGCTAATGGCTATTAGTTCCATTTTCCCAGTGCCTCCCACAGCCTTCAGCTCCCTTTCTACCTGCTGGTGTACATGGGACATCTACCCCCCAGACGGGGGAAAAGTTCCACCAACAGGAGGCTGGGAAGACACCGGATCAGAAAGGGGACAGGGGCCTGAGGAAGGGCACCCAGACCTCATCCGAAAACCCAGCATTACTTTCACCACCAAAGGAACAGGCACCATGCTGGTGCTCAAAATGCTGGCTGACAAGGAGCTTCCAAATCGAACACTTACAACACATTCCCTGTAAGCCCAGGAATCTGTGTTTACACACTTTGAACAGTCATCACATCTTACTTTTTGTATGACTATTTACCTCAGAATGTTCCTTAACTTTTCCCACGTTTGGATGTCTTTTGTCAATGAAATCGCACATTTCCTAAAGTCAAGGACAATGTGTTCCACTATTCCATGTTGCTCAGAGCTTAGATGTAGCAGGTGCTCAACAAATTCTTACTGCATGAATACATTTACTGTGTACAACAAACCAAAGCATACTCTTCCCCTAAATGCTTATAATACTCGAGGGGAAAAACGAGAACACCCCTTCCTCCCAGAGCAGAGGATACCAGAAGAAACAAACTTCAAGACAGAGTGAAACAAGCTACAATTCTTTCCCACGCAGCTCCTCTGATGGTCCATTCAGGCAGCAATGCAGACGTGAGAAAGAATGTGCAAGACCACTTACTGTGGGGGCACCAGGGAGCATAACTGCATGGAGCCACCACCAGTAAGCTCAACTACAGGCCGTTCATTGGCCACTGGAAAAAAAGATGAGCCAGTTTTATACAACTGTGGCTTTGGAGTCTCTCCTCCCCAAAATTCTCCCCTCCACCATTTCTGAGAATATATGTGTTCCATTTTAGACAGCAGCTCTTATGACCACACTCTATCGATGATCAGCAAAAGCAAAAACACCTGAAGATGATTTACTCCCACCTGAGACAGAGCCTCACCTGCATTTCGGATCCTCTCTTTGTACTGCTGATCTAGTTTTTTCATCCTCTTCTGATATTCCTGTAATGTACCTGATTTTGAGATTTACAAAATAAAACGTTACTTTGAAGATCAATCTGCTCTACGCTTCAGTTCCTAAAAGAGCAGTAACTGTTTTAATACGATCAGAGTAAATAAAACACAAACCAGGGAAAGGCACATGCAAACAGAGTTAACTGGACTCTGGTTCTCAATCAAGGCCCAGAGCAGAAATCACCCCACCTAGTGGATTAAGACTCTCTAGCAAGGGGTGGGGAGTAGAAAGGCACAGTCTTCCTCAAGTGATTCTGATCATCTGCTGCTACGGTTTGAGTCAGTGGGCCTCCCCTTTCTGAAAAAAGCTCATTCTCTCTAAGGCCCAGATCAATGCTGTCCAGTAGAACTTTCTCTGCAGTGGTGAAAAGGTCCTAGGTTTCACTGTCCAATATGGGAGCCACTAGTCATACGTAGCTACTGAGCACTTGAAATGTAGCAAGTGCAACTGAGGAACTGAATTAATTTAATTTAAATAGCCACACACAGCCAGTGACAATTCTCAGCAGCTCAGGTATAGATTTTCACCAAATGTCTACTCATGTCATGGCTTTTCCAAAAAGCAGCGAATTACGAGGGTCACAACTAACGAGGGAGTATTTCCTGATCATATGTGTTAGTAGGGTATATTAACAGTATCTTCTTCAAAATCCCTCACTCAACCGTGCCAGGTATGCCCTACAGACTTGCTAGAGTGAAATGTATTTCTTTCTCTGGCAACTCTTCCATTATTATGGGGAAAAAAACAGAAATAAAACAAAGATGTGTGAATGCAACTCATGCAAACCTTTTTCACTATTTAGCAGAAATCAATGTCAGATGGCTAGTTCAGGCAATATAAGGACCTAGTGGAAAAGCTGCTTCACTGATGAGGGGGCTCCACAAAAGTAAGCCAAAGAGTTGCTGGCCACAGCTGTCCCTGAGCTCCCGGTGCACCCCACAGTGCTAGACACCCCTCACGGGTAATCACATCGGCTTCCACTTTCTGCATTTCAAAGACTGGAAAACAAATTTAAGCAAGAGGAAGTGATATGCCCAAGGTCAAATTTCCAGAAAGCAGTACAGTTAGGATTCAAGCCCGTGATGGCCCTCAAAAGCCAATGCTCTTAACCCCAGACTGAACTGCCTTTAGCAGGAAATCGCACTGGACAAGATACAATCCACTTTTAACTTATAAAGCAAACAATAGAGAACACAATAAGGATAACCCACAGCTCATCAGCATTTAGTTTAGAAAAAAATGGTACAATTTTGTGTATTCTTTGGCAACAACGTCTCTCCTAAAAATGTCTAGCTTTAGGCTCACAGTGGTTTTCAGCTCATGCTCTTCAGAAGGCCCTAAGTGGGAGCGCCTGGGTGGCTCAGTAGGTTAAGTGGCTGCCTTCGGCTCAGATCATGATCCCGGGGTCCTGGAATGGAGCCCTGCATTGGGCTCCTTGCTCAGTGGGGAGCCTGCTTCTCCCCTGCCTGCCGTTCCCCTGCCTGTGCTTGCTCTCTGTCTCTCTCTCACTCTCTCGTTGTCAAATAAATAAAATCTTTAAAAAAAAAAAAAAAAAGAAGGCCCTAAGTGAGGGTTCAAAAATATTTGCAAATTGCCACTTTACTGATAGCAGAAGATAGCAAAGTGCAGGCTGGACAGCTGAATCAGCCAGACCGAATTTTAAGTCACTCCCACAGGGGAGTGAAATACACAGATTTCAAAGGCTTGCAATATTAAGTATATTTAGAAATGAAGGGTTAAACCACACACCAACCTTCCTGCAGTTGTTGCAACTGTCTCTTGAGAGAAGCCAGTTTATCCTGATACATCCTGCAAAGAAAAACAACGAAAGCCACATTGAAAGACAAAAACATTCAATACCCGATTCCAAAATCATCTACATACAGGAATTACCTGGGTTGTTATGGGAATGTCATTAATGTCCTTTAGGAGACAGAGAAAACTGAAGTCGGCCAGCTGGTTTAAAATGTACCAGCAGCTAAAGAGATCAGAAAGGGACAAGGATTCTGTGTTCTTGAATCATATCCCAATTCTGCAGATTCTCCTGTGTTATCCCACCTCTAGAGAATCAGTCTGAAATCTACAAATATGAAGACACGCAGATTTTAATAAATAAGTGACAATGATAAACAGGCAAGAAGATACAAAGAAAAACTGAAAGTGTGATGCCATTTTCTTATGGATTTACAAGTATAAGTAACACACACGAAAATGTAGCAAATGCATTAAACAAAGCAGCTCTTCTAACAACTCTACAATTAGATTATAAATTCCAAAGGAGTAAGATTATGCCTTTGGCACGTTATTCTATGTAGATAGCAGAGCTGTGTAAGCATCAAGTTAATCAACTTTCATGTCATTTTTTAAAAGCACTACTCTTTTAGGATCAGAGAAATAATAGTTATTCAGTAACAAAAGTTAAAATGCAGAATTTATTTGCAGCTCCAGCTGGTTAAGAACACGCAGCACACACAAAGCAAAAGCGCCTAGCGTGTTATTCCCCCCTTCCCCCACCCCCCGCCCCCAGACACCAAATGGATTATATGCAATTGTACACTCTGGCAAGTCTGTTTGAATGGTGGATTCCTCGAGTAAATCTTATTTCAACAGTATTTTTGCTTCTACCTGAAAAACACCCCCAATTTTACATGACAAAAATAAGATTTGCAACCTGAATGAACACTGTCCAACAAATAACAGGCACAATAGCTTTTTGACTGCTCCAGTAAGGGCTGTAAATACAACCCAACTATTTACACAGATTGAGGAAAGAGTGGGCAGAATCCGGGAATTACACAGGAGGTCTGATGAAAAGATCAATGAGAATTCTGATGTACTCTCAACACTCACCTTGAATCACACAAGGCATTCAATTTTAAACAAAAGTTTTTCTGTATCCAGTATTAAGGGGCACGTTCAATTAAAATATATCTCAAAAGAATGCTTAAACATGCCAAATAGAGGAAACAGATATATGAACTGCACACAGTATTTGGAACCCAGTGTATTCAATTTTCCACCACATCGAATGCGGTAAACAACGCCTTTGACTTCTGAGTCTGTCTTTGAAAGGGAACATTAACAGATTGAAAAAATAAACAAGCAGAACAAATTCAGATTCGGGAAAGGAAAGGTATGTGGAAATGGTTCAAGGTAAATCGGTAAAAAGCCTAAAGAGAATAAAAATAAAAAGCAAGCACAGTTTCAGGAATGAAGCTGTGAGAAAAAGCACATGATTAAAGTAATCCTTCTTTATTCAGCATTGGTGGAATTTAGCTGAATTACCCCTTTGGGTTCCAGAGCTCGAAAAGGGTAACAGAATCCAGAGGATGGTCACGAACCATTTGCAAATAGGACCTATAAAAAAAGGAACGTGGATCATCTAAAGATAAAAGAATTTAAAGTCAAATCAAGATCCTCAAAATACATTCAACAAATGCATGTGGGGTCTATTTTATACAGTCTTGCATCCGTGTTTACAATAAAAGTGAGTGGTTTTCGTTCCCTGGGCACATTTAGAGAAGGCTCGAGCGGGGATGTTCGATGAGGGCAAAGAGCACTGGAGCAGAGTCAGGAGCCCTGCTCTCCAGTCCAGCTCTCCCTGAGCTCTCCAGGCAGCACACCATCAGCTCTCAGTGGGGTCACCCCCATCTGAGAACCAAATAGCTATGACACACCCTTTACCCTGAGCAACAGTTTCCACATTTAAACAAAACCACAAAAACAAAAACACGAAGAAGTGGGAAACGGTTCTCTCCTGATACGTGGCCTTATTTCCCTGGGATCATTTCCCTGAAGGCTCTTCCTAGCCAATGCTCAAAAGATTCTTTTAACAGGAAGACTGATTACACATGACAAATTTGTAGGGGGAAACTGCACACAAACACATGGACTTTGGACTCTCTATGGTCAAAACCATACACACAAGGTCACTGTCAAGATCTCCTTGTCAATTCTGTATTCCAAACAGGAAATAGAAGAATCATACTCACTGTTCCTTCATTTCTACATAGTCCTCTTCATCATGCTTTGCCAGGTCAGTTTCACTAGCATCTTCGGTGTCTAAGTAAAATCAGGGAAGAAAAGTTTGTTAAAATCATAATTCATAAAATTGCTATCACCTGACAAAGTGACACTTAAACTTCTGTAAAATGAATGCAGGCCTGCGGGAAGCCATCAGTGAAAAATATTACATAGTTACTTTAGAAAAGAAAATGCCATTTTCAACTTAGACATGGCCAGACTTATGCAGAGAGCTGCCTTCATCTGAAGCGCCCCCAGAGAAGAGGGTCCATGAGAGGCAGGCAGTCATGGTCAAGGCTGCTACTCCTGCAGAAGCCACAATGGCAGTTCAGGAAACGGAGCTGTGAGTGTCAGGACAACCAGAGGCAGCCAGGTCTTGCTCACTGCTCCAAAACGACCTACCTAGTAAGTCCATTCTCTTCTGGCCTACGCCCTTAACAGATTTTACATCACATATATACAAAGGACAATCCAAACCAAAGAAGTGAAATATTTTCAAAGTTACAACTAAAGGGAGAAGAAAGGAAACAAGATGATCAAACACAAAGTGTTTCAGAACATTTTAAACACTGTTCTTAAAGTAAGCAAATAGTGGAGTGTCTACATAATTTCAACAGCCCTACTTGAGAAAGGATAAAGATCAATTTTGGCTTCGCCGCTCCCCCTTGTGGACATTAAGAGAAGTCACAAGTGTTTCACATTCAAAATCCCGGGTTAAGCCCCATCTTCAAACGTAGTTTAACCAAACGCAATTAGTTCCTTCAACTTTATTATCTGCACATGTCGCTGCCTTTTTAAAGGCTGCTGCAGATCCAAATCTTCACAAAGCCTTCTCCTCTCTTTCAGTCAAGAGACCTTCACTGAATTCCTGTCATATGCCAGCCACTGTACTTGGCACGTGGAGAACTGAGATGAATAAAACATATTCCTCATTCCAGCAACTAGTCCAACCATTTGCGCCACAGCCTTATTCTGTGCCAGAATATTCCACCCATATACTGGTCTCTAACTCCTCTTTCTTCTCCCGTGTCCTTTTATGTTTGTTTGTTTGTTTTTTTTTCCCCCACCTCTCTTCTCCGGTAGCTCCTTCCTCAATCCTTCCAAAACAGTCTTCCTCACAGTTGCCAAAATATAAACCCCAGTTTGAAAAAGCTGGGCTTTGAGAGGCAGTAATGATAACGCAAAGAACGTGGAACTGAAAACACAACACCTGCGCACCATTAAGCAAATCCCTATCTTCCCTGTGCCTGCTTCCCCAGTGTTACAAAAACATCTACTGAGTACCAGGCCAAGTACCTTATGCACATCTCATTTAATCCTCATACCTACGCTAGGAAGCCCCATTACAGCCGGGGAAACTAAGGCTCGCAAGCTTAAGTAAGTCTAAGGTCACAAAGCTGGGTTCAGTGAGCCAAATTTAGATCTAGATCTGGCTGATTCCAGGTCCCGTCCTTTTAAGCAACCTGAACTGCGCTACCCAAAGTAGGGTTGCCGAAAGCATTTCCTCGGGGTGGAGGGTCGGGGGGGCAGCAACTTGGGAACCTGGAAGCCAAACTGGGCTTTGCTCTGATCCTCTCCGGAACTAAAAAGCGGAGGGGTACTGAAGATACTCAATGGAAGGCTTTCTCATTCCAACCAGGAAAGACCTGAGGTTCACCAGAGACGGTTGAGAGGAGAGGGACAGAACCTTAAAGGGGCTTCCGTCTCTGACAGCAGCTCCCCAAGTCCCTCCTTCCCATAACTGTTAGGGTACGACGTCCCCACAGTGGCCCCGGGCCCAGCGCAGGTGAGGATAACTTCCCGGAGCCGTGCGCCTCCCCCAGCCCCGGAGGTCGCCCCGCCCCGCTCCGTGCAGCCCACTCACTCCCTCTTCGGTCCCACCCCCGCCCCGGGCTGCCCGGCCAGCCAGAGGACGCACCTTCATCAGACTCGCGGCCCCGGCAGCTGCGCTCGTCGTCCTCGGCGCTCTCCAGCTCTTCGTCCTCCTCGGGATAGTACTCCGGGGCCGGCGGTGCTCCCGCCGGGGCCGGAGCCGGAGCCAACAGTCCCGCGGCACTCATGTCGCCTCTGGCCGCGGCTGAGCGTCTCAACCAGCGACCGCGGCCGCGCGCCCTGCGGACTCGACGCCCGCCTAGCAGCCCCCGAGGGAGCCGCCAACTCGAGGAGCGGGAGCCGCGGCAGTCGCGGCGACCCCTTCCCGGTCTCCGCCAAGCTCCTCCCCGCGCGCCAGCTCTCGGCAACGGGGGCCTCGCGCCGGCGGCGACTTCCGGGTCGCGATCTGCCCGAGGCCCGCCTGACTCCGTCATCCTTGAGGGGTTGGAGAGGCCGCCGGACGCCCCCTTCGTCTTAACCTCGGCCCTTTCATGCAGTCTTTAAAAATCCTCAACGGGTAGTGGGGAGGGGCGAAGACAAGTTCTCTAGAATTAGGCAAATCCTTGGACAGAACTGGCCGCGGCTAGGACCCTGAAACTTGCAGGCGATTTCTGGAAACAGCCGCCAGGCGGCGCAAGGAGCCAGAACTAAAGCGAGGATCCTTAGCGACCTGAGAGAGGCAGAAGGGTTGAAGGTGGTCTCTCGTTGACAGAGGTGAACGACATGAACCATCCCCTTTATAGGCTGGGAAACGCTGACATCTAGAATTTTCGTGATCATCCCCCAGAGCCTAGCTCATCCCCTAATTGGAGCTTTATTGAGAACTAAAAGGCAAGGATGTTGAGAATTCCATTCTGGGGTCCGCAAAAGGGTGTTTAGTCGGTGGGAGTCTTTTCTGTTTGTACAGTTGTTCTCAATAAGGTGTTCTCCCGATTTTACATATGAGAAAAGAACATTGACCTAAAAAATGGTAGCGTCCAGGCTGCCTTGTTTACACGGTCACACCCAAGCGCTGTACATTACTGCTGTCTCATATTTCTTAGAATATTAATTTTTTAAAAGGTGCTTTTCCCCATCCAATAACTTGCTAACAACTCTCAACCGAGCAAGCGGAACATTTGCCTGCAGAAAGTTAATTAAACTAGCATAAGGAAGGTGCTGTGTGGAAACTTAGAAAACAAGAGAACTGAATACCTGCATGAATTAATTCATCTGATTCCTTCTGAGTGTTATAAGCTTTACTTAATGAACGAATTTAGGATGTCCCTCGTCTAGTTGTGGGTAGCAAGAAAAGGGGTAAGGAAAAGAGCCTAGGATGTTTGTCCAAAGTAACCCTGCCCCCTTTATGTTGTATCCAAGTCGTCATAGAATAAATAACTTTTTTTTAAAAGATTTTATTTATTTGACAGAGAGATAGAGAAAGAGCACAAGTAGGCAGCAGGCAGAGGGAGGGGGAGAAGCAGGCTGTCTGCTGAGCAGGGAGCCCGATGCGTGGCTCGATCCCAGGATCCTGGGATCATGACCTGAGCCGAAGGCAGATGCTTAACCGACTGAGCCACCCAGGTGCCCCAGAATAAGTAACTTCTAAGTAGTAAGGTTGAACACAGATCTAAAAGCCAGGTGGACCCCAGTATCCTGATCCTTTGTGACCAAATTCCTCTCCGAATGGGACCCCAGAGTCCTCTCAAAGTGAAAAAAAATTATGCGATTTATTTCAACATTTCTTATTTTCTACCTTGTGTTAATGAAAATCTTGGCTCTTTGTGGGAGATTTTTCCACCCAACAAACCTCAACAATTTCCAAAATGGACTGCTGCAATGTCTTTCCATGAGTTCAGAGATCTTCTGAAGCTCCTTCTAAATAAGAGTCATTCTCAAGGCTCACTGTAGATCCACCATCTGTATTTAAACTAGGATTTTAGAACTGCCTCTTGCCCAAAGGATGAAGTCATTTCTATTTTTATTTTAGAACACATCTAAATTATTTGTAATCAGCTATATTGAGCAACTTGGGTTTCCATCAGAAGTAATAATCATAGACCAGAAAAGGCTCCAACATTTTAGAAATTACAGTTCATTGATATAATGAATCAAAAAAAAAAAAAGAAAAAGAGATTTGACTTCATTGCTAATTGGTTTCTTCAAGACATGGAATTTTTATCTCACTTATGTTTTCTTTCTACTTGATTGCAAATAACATCTGTTAATGGTCATGCATTTCTTTTTTTATATGAATAGACACAACTGACATAGTGAAAACTTACTCCATTTCTTCAGTCCATATTCCCAACTGCATTATTGGTAGGATGAGCTCTTAACTAATATATGCTCTTTAAGAGAAGGAGAACCTAGTCAAAAAAAGTTCTGTCATGACTTTAGTCTTACCTAACCTTTAGAGTTGTTGAATGTAATAATTCTGGGGGCTCCTGGGTGGCTCAGTCAATTGAGTATCCGACTTGGTTTCGGCTCTGCACTCAGCAGAGAGTCTGCTTGGGATTCTCTCTCCCTCTGCACTTTTCTTATCCCTTCTAAAATAAATAAATAAAATCTTAAAAAGTATATATATATATTATAATTTTGGATAATCTCTCTAGGCCTGTAAAAATTACGTTCCCCCAGAATTACCTTGAAATCTCTCATCCTCTTCCAAAATGCCAGTCAGCACTGCTCAGGAGGCACCATACTTCAGAACTCAAATGAGGTCCTGCCAGCCTCATTTCCACATACCCTAACACCCAAATTTAAAGGGAAGCACTGCAATTGGAATGGAGTATCATTGTAAAACACCAGGGAAAACATGTACAGTGTTTAGGACACAAATTCTGTCAGCAGGAGTTCACACAAGAGTTAATGATGGAGAGTTTTCTGAGAGCCAAGTCCTGTATACATCTAACTAGACTTAGGATCAAATTGTGTGCCCGAAATGAAACAATTTCTTCTTCATAAAATGCTGAATTGTCAAAGTCTGTCAACTTTGGGGTTTATGAGTAAGAGCAGCAGTTTTCAGTTTCTGGTATTGACTTAACATATCCAGCTTCAAAAAACATAAAGAATGGCTCTGAGTAACACAATGCACTTTTACCCCTGGCAGACGAGTCTCTGATTATCACACGTTGCACTTTGGCCATCAGTTCACACAGAATCATTAAAACATTGGCCCTGAAAAAAACGAATATGCTGACTAAGCGCACTGAAGCCTACCACACAGTTCCTGTTCCTACTGTCAGAATGATTATCAAAACCCACAAACTGATTATTTCTCAAGTTTCGTCCTTGGGCCTACCAAAAGGAGCCCCAGGGGTGCTGAATGCTTTACTTGCTCACAGTATACACCTCGTATAAAGATTTTTGCCTCCCAACAGCATTAGACTGACGTCTGTTGAACGCAATGCAAGGGCAACTCCCTTGCCAAAGATATAAAAGAATTTAAATCCAGGAAATATTTACAAGTCCGGAGTGAATACATGCTACATGCTATATTAATTGATGGCATCATTACTTAGGGAGCCGAGCAAGAATGGAAGAATGGGGAACTCCTCAAAGGCTCTCACACGGTGGTCCCCGGGTGTCCCAGGGGGCCTTGGCCTCTGGGAGGCTCCCAAGAAAAGTAAAGGCGCAGAGGAGTGCCATGAACTTTGACCCCAGCGCAGCGCAAACAAGTCCGACCGCACCCCAGGAGGGCCCGCGGGGTAACTGAAGTTGCAGGGTCTTCCGGGTCTGAGGAAGCCCCGCCCCGCCCCGCCCCCCGCCCCGCCCCCCGCCAACTCCGCCAATCCTCAGGCGCCATCGACCGCTCGGCTTCCCAGGCACCTCCAATCAAGTACCTATATCCGGCCCCATGCCTGTGCCCTGCGGTCAGGGGAGGTCAGTAGAGAGCCTATCGGAGCCGAGCTGGGGGCGTGGTCGGGGGCAGGGGGCGGGCAAACTGAGACCGCGGGGCGGAGCGCGCTCGGCGCAGTCGGGTGCGATTGGCCACCCCTGGCAGGAGCCGCACCTCGGACAGCAGCAGCCGCGACCGCCGGAGGGTCCGTGGGGCGCCCGGCGGCGACGGCGGCGGAGTCCTGCGTGAGAGTGGGACCCGACACCGAGACCGCGGGCGGAGGCTCCGCGTGGCCGGACCCGACACTCAGCGACCCGACCCGGGGATCCTCCGGGGGACAAGCGGCAGAAGAGCGACTCGGGAACAAGTGTGGGAGAGGAAGCGGCGGCGGCGACGCCGGGCCCGGGGGTGGTGACAGCAGGTCTGAGGTGAGAGCACCGGGGCGCGGTACGGTGACAGAGTGAGCCGAGGCAAGAGGACCCTGGGCGGAGTGAGGTCGGGGAGGACTCGAGTGACGGGAGTCCGGGGGCGGGTTTGTCCGCACTGGGGAAAGAAGACCCCGAGAGCGACCGGGATAGCGGGTCTGAGCGGGAACCTCGAGAGGGCTTGGGACAGCGGGTCTAGGGAGAGTCCCCGAGCGAGCTTGGGACAGCGGGTCTAGGGAGAGTCCCCGAGCGAGCTTGGGACAGCGGTTCTAGGGGGAGTCCCCGAGAGGGCTTGGGACAGCGAGTGTGAAGGGAGAAGATCCCGAGAGGGCTTGGGACAGCGGGTCTACGGAGAGTCCCCGAGAGGGCTTGGGACAGAGGGTATGAAGGGAGGGGACCTCGAGAGGGGCCGGGACAGCGGGTCTGAAGAGGCGATCCCGAGAGGGCTTGGGGCAGCGAGTGTGAAGGAAGGGGACCTGAGAGGGCTTGGGACAGCGAGTATGAAGGGAGGGGACCCTGAGAGGGGCTGGGACAGCGGGTCTGAAGAGAGGGGACCCCGAGAGGGCTTGGGACAGCAGGTCTGATTGGGGAACCTCCCGAGAGGAGCCGGGACAGAGGATTTAGGGGGAGTCCCCAAGAGGGTTTGGGACAGCAGTTCTGAAGGAACTGGGGACCCCGAGAGGACTTGGGACAGCAGGTCTGCTGGGGGGACCCCCCCGAAAGGGGTCGGGACAACGGGTGTGAGGGGTACCCGGAGACGGGTTTCGGAGCGCGCGAGTGGACGTGGAAGGGGGGAGCGAGCCTGGGTCGGGGTCGCTGCGCCGGGCGAGTCCGGACTGCCCGCAGCGCACAGCGAGGGGAGGCGTGCTGCTCCTAGGTCTGCAGTCAGCCGCTCTCCCCAAAGGCGGTGTGTGCGATAGGGGACAGTCCGAGCCCCCGTGACTCTGTGGGTGACTCCGTGGAGCAGGGATTATGTAATGAAACCTCTCCTAAGTAGAACGCAAGGGCCGGAGGGTCTGGCAGAAGCGCAGAGATCTTGGCGAGAGCGAGAGACCGGCTGCCCGACCTCTCTCCTCACTGGCCCCCTGGCTTCTGATGTGTTTCTGAGAGTTTGACACGGATGCCTTGAAAGTGAGGGGCTTCCTGATATTAGTACCTTAACGAGAATGTGAGAAGTTGGAGAGGGCTTCTCCAAGCCACCACAGGCCAGTTGAAAGGGAAAGGGATCCTTCTGGAGACCCATGTTTTGGATTAATTGGGATGGTGATAGTGATAGACCCTGTTATTTTTCATTTCAGCTCAGGGAGCTGAGAAAGGTTTCAAGATTAGGCAGCACTTTGGTATCCGTTTACAGTGCAGATTCAAAGGAGCTATACACTAAGTTTAACTTTGATGTGTTGGAGATAGTTGGGAGGTCAAACTAAAGGAGGTATTGGAGTGGCTAAACTGACAGCACTTTCCAATTAGATTTCTCATCCTAAAAGCTACCAGGACTGAGCTTTAGGCATGATTCCAGGACAAGCTAAGGAGAGAGATAAGCCTATTTAAACCAGACACTGTGTCCTTGTAGGAGGCAAGTGTGTCTCTTAAAATGCTGAAACAAAGAGTGGAAAGCTGGAGGGGGTGGGAATTGAGGGGTAGCCTCCTACTTTGATGGATGTGAAAATTAAACTAATGACCAGGCTAGTCGTTCACAGTACTTAGGATATGTTAATACTGCCCTGCCTACCTTTCAAATGTTCTCTTGAATTGCATATGCTTTGTTAACAGTTGGACCCAGCAGTTTTTGCATTTGGATTTTTTAAACTTTTTCTCTGTGTGTTGCTTCTCCTCAGCCCTTCTTTTCCCAACTAGTTTCTTTTTTAGAGGAGCAGACTTACAAAATGATGGTTTGGGAAAAATAATGGGGAATGTCATTATCATTTCACAGTTACTTAGGTATATTCTTTGTTTCTGGTTTAAAATATGTCTTATTAGAAACTTTTGCCCTTGTATAGTAATGGGCAGCTTCAACAAAGGGGAAGAAAAAAATGCTGCTTTATTTTCCAAAGACATAATGGAGAAAGCTTACATAGAACTGCCTATTTAAATCAAAGACAAACATTATTGAAGTCATTTTCATCAGGGTGATAGTAAGTAGAGGACATGGGTCATTTGGGGATTTTATTTGGTATTACCTGATACAGAGCAGTTCTTATATGACTTCAGAGAGTGTGGAGCTGGATCTGGTTATGAAAATCCCACCAACTACAAGTCCTCCCCTAAGAAAGGGAGATAAGAGCAACAACAGCAAATACAAATTTAAAATATGACGCTATAATTTAAGTTGTATTAAGTGTGATTTTCTTATGCTAAATTTATTTTTCCAGAACTCTAGGTCAAATTCAAGTAAAAACTGAAGTCAGTTAATTCAAGAGGTTATTTACAAAGGGTATATATTCATTATGTAGTGCACGTAACTTTTGAAATGGTCTGTGGAAGGATTGGGAATCCCAGTACCAGTAATTCTACAAAGTAATAGAAATGTTTGAGCAGATAAGCTCTTTGATCATACTTGTTAGCTCATTTCTGACTGGTACAAATGGTAGTTTCTTAAGACAAAACATAAATTTTAATTCCTTATAAGAAAAGAAAGTGTTCTAATACTCCCCGGAGTGGTGACTAAAGCAGTCATTTCAACCACATTACGTTATGGTATTGATCCAGAGATGATGAAGAGAGATTCATTGTAATAGAATTTTTAGTGATAGGAGGGGCCTATAGTGACTTTTTATTCCTTGGGGTGATGAGTGGGTGGGTAAGAGGGTAGGAATTGTGTGGGAATTTATTTTCATTTATTTCACAAAATAAAAGTACACCATAAGAAACTATAAAATTGTGAAGACATTTTGCCTGTGCTCATTTAAACTATTTCTTTTCAATTAAAAAAATATACTGAAAAGAAATTAAGAGGGAGCTTTCCACTTCTATATGAATGGTTATAGCAACAACAGAATGCAAGTCTTTTTGGTTTGGAGTTCTTAAACTATACTTACTCTTGGTTTAGTGGGATACAAATACTACCCTGTAAGTACAATAACCCATTTTGCCCGTTCTTTACCACTTGAGTCATATACAGTCAAACCATTGTCATCTCAGAGTCTACCTTGATATCTAATTTGGTTTAATGTTTAAGCCACTCTGAATAAAAGTTCTCGTTGCTTGCCAGTGTGCATATTTGTTGGTTTCAGTAGTGTAGAAGAATGAATGAAACCTATTCGTACTTTTATGTTAGAGCCTCCATTAAAAGCCTCTTTCTTTCATAATCTTTTCCTCCAGTCTTTGTTTCTTCCCTCCCCCCAAAAGAAAATAGACTGACAGACAAACAGAAAGCTTCCACCCAAAAGTGTTTTGTGACTCTCCTAGGGGAAGACTGCTTTTCAGTTTTCAATGAGATTCAGTGAGCTCATCTTCAATGATTCTTTCAACCAGTGAAGAGTTTTGAATTAGTTCTGAGTTGTGAGATATTGTACAGTTGCAGTTCAGCATAGGGAGTTTAGATTGTGATTATTTAGCTTTATCATCCATTTAATTGGTTGCTTTGTTATTTATGAAGATTGGTTAAAATTTTGTTACTGTTTCTAAAACGCAAACTGAGTAAAAAAAAGAACAATGAAAGAAAAAACATAAGTGGCATCTATCAGTCTGGCTGTCCTTATAGACTAGATATATTGAGTTTATGAGCCAAAATGTTATCTAACTCATTTCTAAACTACACGCATCAAATTAAAAACAACTTTTTAGAATTTTTAGGATAACCAGCAGGAATTAAATTGATCATTCCAGCTATATGTTATTATATTACCTGAATATTTTATAAATCAACCTAATGTGTTTTTTGTCTGTCTAACCTGAGATTTGTTAGAGACATTGAATCTAAATTATTTCCATTTTACAACAGAATGACTTAGGGGTCAGTTTCTTGATTTGTTAACACAGCTCAGCCTCCTAACCATTGTCAGCTATCCGACACATACACATTTTTCATCCCCAAAGTGAGTGAGAAAGAGATTTTGCTTTGGAAAAGACACTTTATACCCAGGAAAACCTACTCCCATTAAACAAAGAGGTATAACCCATGTGGCTGTAGGTACTAACACTGAGAATTTACGTGCTGGTGTCTAGTCTTTGGGGCCCTTCCACTTTACCTCTAGTGTCAGTGAAATGATGGATAGCAAATTCAACCCCACAATATACATTTTGTTACACTTAATATTTTAGTTAATTATCAAAGTGCAAATTGGAAGACTTCAGTTTTACTTCCATCCACTATTTCTGATGGACAAATAGGATAACCCTTTATTTCCAGTTCAAACTAGGACTCTGGGCACTATATATTTATTTTTATATGTTTCAGCTCTGTCTAATGACACAGGCTTATGTCCACAACAATCAAGGCTTATGACAATTCAAATAGATATTATTTACCCATTACAATAGATGGCACTAATCAAGGCAGAATGCTTTCTTACATAAATAACCTAATTAGCCTTGGCAGTAGACACACAGAATCGTAGATTGTGGCCAATTTTCCATTCTGTTGTGAACATTAGCCTTTACTTTTTGAAGAGTGTGTGCGTGAACACACAAGTATTGCCAGAAACCACATATAGTTTTTAAATGATCTAGGTCAAGAATTAGTAGCAGAGATACAAAAGTACAATATTATGCTTCATGTACCTTTATGTTTCTATTGTCTCTGGTGTAAAATTTCTCTTCTGTCATTGTATACCAGTTCCTTGTCTACATGTGTTTGTTGGTCTTTTACTATTCTGTGAGCACTTCAAGGCAGAGCTAGGTAGTATTCATCTTTGCATTCCCCATGGTAAGTTCAGTACCAGGCACAAAGTATGAAGATGCTCCATAAATGTGAATTGAATGAGTGAATGAATTAATGATGAGCAAATTAGTAGATGCTACTTACGTTCACACTTTGTTTCTTATACACCAAAAAAGACAGGGAT